TGCATGAATTTGAAATTGGACAGTCAACTCTTATTTCCAAAAATGATAAGGGTTAACTGCCTCGACACTGAGGAGTAGATGGATTTGATTTGTCTTTGGGCACACAGAGAGGGCCACTGTCAGTGGCTTAATCATGTTATGGACAAGATAGAGCATCTCTTAAAAGTATAAAGAACGATTTACTGTGCATCCTGGTAACAAAGATGGACCAGACCTTTTAAGGTTTTACTGACCTGAAACGAGTGAACGTGTTATCTGAAATGGATACTTTTCAACTTCTCCATGGCTTTAAGAGATTAACACTGGCTCAAACACGAAAGGGGACATGTTGTATTCTTGTATTCTGTGCTACCTGCGCTATTGCTGTGTCAACATGGTGTCCAGCTCTTGACGTCTTAAGGCACGAAGACTTCTTTCAAAAGCATCTCATACATGTTGGATGGGACTGATTTCAGCTGATCTAGATGGCCACTCCATGATGTCAATACCCGCATTTTGCAGGAAACATAAAACAGCTGCGTTAATTCGCAGTGTCATGTCGGAATTGGAGGCCTGGACCATGACGAGCAATTAACAGCTCGATCGCATGGGTCGCTTGTACAACACTGACCACAGAGGGTCTACTGACCCAGTTATGCAACGCCACATTACAGCTAAACGCACGGACCACAAAGGTCGCACGATCGGATTGCAGGGAATACAGTCATCAAGATTAGATATACAGCTAACCCTGCATCTTATGAAACAGCTGATCAACAAGGCACAAACTCGGCCAGATACACTTTTGCCAATAACTTATGTGAGCTTGATGTTTTCAGGAATCAATGCCAGTGATGAGAAGAAGAATTTGTGGCAAAAGCAATGACAAGCCCTTGAACAAGAAAGCTGTCATCAGGTTGAACCCTTTGCACCCAAGGTTAGGGTTTTCTCGTCGGTATTCCTGGTCCCCCAAAATGATTCAACAGACCTTGGAATGATTTTAAGTCTGAACACCCTGAACAGGAAATATCTAAGACGACTAACCAAGTTATTGGCTTTTTGTATGGAGTACATATGGAACCTCAGCCATACGGTTTCTGTAGGGATTCTATGATCTACAGGTAGCGTATCTCTGCGTCCCTATTCAACCAGACATCAACACCCAAGAGATGAGAGCAGTATCATTAGATATCCAGCACTGGGGACTAATGCTCAGGAATTCCTCCCTACTAGCTGCCACGAACAACGTCATTGTAGTTGCGTGTAGCTACAGATTCGGAGATCCTCGTGGAACTTACGAGAGAACTGTACGATCCAGTGGACAGTCTGGAATGCAATAGTTTGACCAGACTCATCCCAGAGAAGATCAACCTGCAGATGCCCTATCACGCTCGAAAAAGATGCTGTTGATTGAGTGGTCATGACGACGTCTCGGGGGGGAAGGTAGACCGACACGATCTACTATCTCTATTTGTACAACAACCTGTACGTATTCCTCATTGGCCAACGTTTCTCAGGCAACCAATGCCAGACAGCGTTTCCTCAGTCACTCAGAGCTTCAACATCTTCTCTATATGGCTATAAATGAGACAGATTCCAGTGGAGAGATGAGATACAATGAGAGATGAAGAAACAGTTATCACTGAGGATGAGGTTATATTCAACATGGGCCTGAGGTTGATTGTTGTGATCCGAGAAGCCTCTCTTGCCGCATGTAGTTGTGTCTTACACAAATGATAGACTACAACTAAAAATGGAAGCAGGTTATATCTAATCAGTAATATGACTAGGTCTTCATTAGAGTGGACGAGATATTAACCGGACGTGACGTCATTGTGACGTCATCAAAAGTAACGTGAACCGGAGATAAAGTCATAGTCCACCAAAATTATTAAATAGGGCATCAAGAGAGGTCTATTTGTCTTATCAGTAAACATCTAGATTTGTGAGTTGTATGGTTGTCTTCCTAATCTGGGCACTCTCAGCCCACCAAGCCTACGTGGGATTCGAAAATCAAATGTTAGAGGGACTTATTCGCAAGAAATTCGAAGTATTATCAACAAAGATAATAATTCTCAGAATACTACCTCTATCATTTGAGGTAGTGGCATACCAATCCCTCCCATGGGAATCCCAATGAACGTACCCTATGACAAACTGAGGTTTCCACGCTTGAGGGATAGCTCTTACAGAGTGTTTATTTCTTTAATAGGCCAACGGCCAACATGAAAAATACATTTAACATACTTTCAAAAGCGCATTGCCAACATCCGCCTCCCCCCTCCCCCCACCAAACCCCCTTACAAAGACTTTTCGTGACAAAAGATAGCACTAGGAAGAAGATAAACATTCATGGATAATTCAAATTATAGTTTTGCTTTACCTGAAATATATGATAAACAAATTTAGCTAAGTTGAAGGTTAATACTTCAACTTTAGTTTGTAAAATTTTTATAAACTTCATCATGTTTGGAGACTTGTATACCTCCAGAGGTAGGTAGCGACGTCTAAATGTCAAATACTTAGGACAAACCATGATAACATGATATTCATCCTCCATGTCATTTTTGCAGAAAGGACATATTCGGTTTTCTAAAGCTTATTTTGGTCGAGCCCATCTTCTTTTCTCAATCATAAGTGAATGAGAAGATAATCGTAGTCGTGTCAAGTGTACCCTATAGTTTATGATATCAGTTTGAGATAAATACTTTTCCATGGTAAGTGATGACTTGATCAGCAAATATATTCTTGTTTCACTAAGTGAACTTAGATTATTTTTCCACATTTGTGAATGTATATCAATAGCCCTTTGTCTAAAAGCACTTATAAATCCTGTACAATTTAGAGTCAATTTCTGTTGTAACCAAATAAAACCATATCCATACTGAAACAACAAGTCTCTAATGAGAGTAACCTATGTCGTATATGTTGGATTCTGCCAAGCTTTGTCGACTAGAGCCCTATATATAATGCTTATATATCGGCTTTCGTCACAGGTGATAATCTTAATCCAATATTTCACAATGCGTAACAATCTAATAGTCAGCAATGGCAGTACGCCCATTTCACCATAGACAAAAGCTGATCGTGTTGAACTTTTAACACGCAGAACCTGATTAATAAACTTTAAATGGAACTTTCGATAGCTGGCGCTTCCATAAATCCCCAAACTTCACAACCATAGCATAAAACTGGCAGTACTAAGCTTTTAAACAATTGATACTGCTGTGCAGGGGATATATATGGATTGGACAACAATATTCGTTGTAACGAAAATAAGGATGTCATAGCCTGCTCCGATAGAGTCTGTTGTGCCTTGGAAAAACTACCTGTTGCTGAGAAGACAATACCCAAATATTTGAAATTTTTAACATTTTCTAGTACCTGATCACCATAATACCAGATTTCTCTCTTGGACAATCTACCCCCTTTACTGAAAATAACAACCTTAGTTTGATCTGTATTAACAGTGATGGCCTACTTGTCGCAAAATCTCTGTAAAAAAACAAGACCACGTTGTAAGCCCTCGATGGATTCACTGAGCAAGACCATATCATCAGCAAATAATAACATAAATAACTTAATGTAAAACACTGTCATGCCAATATCATTGCAAGCAGAGAGATCAGACACAATATCATATATAAACAATGAAAATAATATAGGCGATAAATTTTCCCCATGCCTGACACCTATACTTGATGAAAAGAATTCTGAATACCTATTTCGAGGAAGTGTAACACAAGAGGACACATCCATGTATATATTTTTGATTAATGATAGAAATTTAGAACTCATACCCAAAGAATAGAGTTTAAACCAAAGAGCTTGCCTATTAACATAGTCAAATGCCTTTTGAAAATCCACGAAAGCACAATAGCGCTTGGGTAGACCACTAGCAGAAAAGACAACACAAGTTCATGGTCTTTTAAAAATTGCTAAAAGTTATACCTGTCGATCAGAAACAAGTTTCAGCAAATAAGGCAATCAAGTGTCAGAAGTATTTTGAGAATTATTATCATTGTTGATAATACTTCAAATTAACTACCTTGTACTACCCATTTTCAATATAAATCATTTCTCTTTTGTTCAGTATGTAGTTGTTTTTTAAAATAGTATTTGTTGATATTTTGTTAACATCATAATTTAACCAAAAAGTTGTGTCTGTATTCTTTTGTTTTTCTTTCAGAACTGTAGATTAGAAATCATCGCATTTGAATCTCTTGGTTTTACCAATAATGGATGGAGTGCATTAGCTATCACTGTGACTGACTACAATCGCAAAGCTATCTCTGTTGGGGGATCGACTCTCAAGCCATACTTCAAATATCTCAGTCAAGTATCCATACAGGTAAGGGTAAGCCTTTGTTAGGAAGAGAATCAGTGTACCAGATTGTCAGTTATATTGACTAATGTGTTATATACTAACGGAAAAAGTGACCGTGCATAACATAAACTTGCATAAAATAAAAGTTGAAAATCCTAAAAAACATGCACTTTCCTGAAATTTGATGTGACGAACTTACGTCATGTCACGGCTTGCAGCAAATCAGCGTCTCCGCGTGGCCAGACGTGGCCGTTTGTGGTCCATCGAAAAACGATCTCATATCTATGGCGACGTTTTCAACATAATATGAACAGGAGAGATTTGCCTCGGAACGGCCGTCCACGAGTGACGTCACATTTGCAAGACAACCACATTCGGCTGACTCATCTAAGGAATCGATTCCAGACTGCTACCGGCCCGGCCCCGATGGCCTGCAATACGTCCAATTTCGCTCCAACGTTACCGACAGGCACGTCTTGCTTGGTGCAGACCACATCTACAGTACAGAAGACAAGATTGGGATGGTGTTTTGTTCACTGACGACTTGAGATTTCATCTGGACAGCTCAGATGGCAGGGCAAGGGTGTACAGACGGCGAAGTGAACGGTATGCTGACGCATGCGTTATTCAACGTCGACAGTTTGGTGGCAATAAGCGTTATGGTATGGGGGGATATCACAACTTGTCATTGTCAATGGCCATCTTACATGTCTGCGATACAGGGATGAGCTCACTAGGCCTCATGTGCAGCCGTTCATTTGTGGACAAAGACGTAACTTCACGCTTCAGCAAGATAATGCCCGTCCTCATGTCGCTCATGTTGTGACAGATGTCCTGAGACAGAAGAACATTCCAGTACTCCCATGGAGTTTCTCCTTACCTGTCATCTATCGAGCCTGCTTGGGATGAAATGGAGTTACGTTTGCGTCAAGCCCAGATTCAGCCATTGACGTTAGCTGAATTTGGACAAACGTTGGTTCAGACATGGAACAACATTCCCCAAGCTTTCATCAATCACTTAGTGTCGTCTTTGCGTCCTCGTTGTCAAGCCTACATCAACACCAATGGTGGACATACGCGATACTGAATTTGTGAACTGACTTCTAACACCACATCTCTTCAAGGGCATGTCACGATGCCTAGTGTCAAATATAAAAGATTTGGGTAGTATCCTGTACATATTCATCACATGATCATTTATGTATGGTAAAGACATAGCATGGTATTAAGAAACCTGATCATGATACCTCGTAAATATAGTCAGTGCAATTCGAAAGACATTCTATTATGTTATGTTGGTATATCCATTCTATATCTATATAAGTGACAAATTATCATCTCCTACCCTCTTGTCACAAACATCTCTCCCTCATGTGCTTCAAATCAACAATCAATTGAATGCATTTCGTGAGTGAAAGGCAAAAGAGCAAAGAGAATCAGTGTTAAACTCTAACTGCTGCGAAGGAATGTTATTACATGGAACGACAACTGTTTTAAGGTATGCTAGCAATCAACCATAATAGCAAAGCATATCTAAATGAACCACAGTCAGTAGCGAGTGTGTCTGTATTGTGAATTAACGCAGGCCTGACACCTTCGATTCACAACTTAAGGCCACTACACGTCGATGAAAATCCTGGTAAAGATCATTCCATGTCCCCGTGAAGGTCCCGGGTTAGAATTGGTCTTCAGTAACCCATGCTTGTCGTAAAAGGCGACTATGCTTGTCGTAAGAGGCGACTAACGGGATCGGGTGGTCAGGCTCGCTGACTTGGTTGACACATGTCATTGGTTCCCAATTGCGCAGATCGATGCTCATGCTGTTGATCACTGGATTGTCTGGTCCAGACTCGATTATTTACAGACCGCCGCCATATAGCTGGAATATTGCTGAGTGCGGCGTAAAACTAAACTCACTCACTCACCCAAGGAAGTATTTGGCAGCTTTGTTTGTTGGAGGATTCAGTTGACGCTGTAAACGTGGCTCCATTTCACCCCAGACGTCTTTAGTTACCCAAACGAGATTAGTTGCCAAGTTTCTTGTAAGTGTAAATGTAACATATCAGCCTCGTACAAGTGAGCACTTAAATTTTTAATCAAAACAGAAGACCAATTAAGTACTGAAATAAAGATGAACCAATTATGCAACAAGAACAATTTAACTAGACTAACCCACATCAATTCTGTCATGATGTGGCTGTCTATGTTAAACTTTGAAAGAAAGTGAACTATGATAGCCTCTGGATATACTCTTTGACAAAATTGAGGATCATAAAATGTAAATGTTAACTCCAAATATTGGCAAAATGATTAGAACAATGATAAGCGTTGCCATCTATTGAAAGAAAGAAAGATTATGTCTGTAACATTTAACACAAAACCACAATCTCTAGTTTGCACATGCCACATATGTAAATGGAGTCAATCCTTCACATTCAAGGAAGGCTGATTCATCTCCGTGGACCATGATTTCTGCCAATTATATAAATTCTACTTATCATGCAGTTGTGATTTACTTGATTTAATTGATTGTTTGCGCACGATGCACTGACAATATGTGGAGAGCTCTTTCCATGCTGGAAAGCGGCAGACGTCAGCGTACTATGGAAGTCAAATTCACTGCCGGTTGTAATGTGTATCCTCATTCTTTAATGTTATCATATACACCCCACCAAAGGAAGCTAATGTCTCTTGCAATTTTGGAACCATTTATTCCCAGTTATTCCCTACCTACTAAGAGTATATTTGGCAGGACATGCAATTAACTGTAGTATTGACAATTAAAAATGCTTACACGAATGCTTTTTGTACTGTACATGTTTGAAATCATTTGTTCTAGTTCATGATTATCACCGTCGACAGTTGGAATGGGCCTGTATTTGTAGATCCAACACCAGCTAATCAACATCGCTTTATCATTGATGCATACGCCCCTCTGAACATAAGCCTGGCAGCACAAGGATACAGGTACCGTCTAACCTCACATACCATACACAAGTTGGAATAAATTATGCTTGCCTTTAAACCTTATGTCAGCAACTGGGTTTGTTAACCAGAGCACTGTAACATTTATACTCTGATCTGCAAAGCGTCCTGATGAAAAACAGGAGGTGTGATACCACACCCTTCATACCATGTGATGTAAACATAATGCAGGTGGTGTCTGTACGCCTATAATGCATGTGATGTTTGTACATATAAAATGCATGCTATGTGTGTGTATGTATGATTCATGTGTTGTTTGTACATATGTAATGCACGTGCTGTCTGTGCATACATGATGCATGTGCTCTCTATACATGTATACTACCCATCAAAAGTTTAGACTCACTTAAAGCACTCACTATATGTTATGTATATGTATGTGGTTACATCGAAGATGAATTTCTCCACCAACTTGGGGGAACCAACTGAAAACCTTATGCAGATGAATTGCACAAGGATGATGCTTCAAATTGCGAAAGGCATGAGCAAATGTCGTGCATGTGAACAGATTCGTTTTGGTGTAAAGTTTTGTTAAGAATTCGCCAATTTTCACAGATTTTAATCATTTACTGAACTCATGACAATAATCTTTTCAATGTTACGAATATGTTTTACAATACACCAGTTCATAACTAAACAGTACCTTTAAACAGTATGGAATATTTTGCAAAAAAGCTAGTTTAGAACAGTGGACAAGTAAGTGGCTACATTTACACTAGTGAGTCTAAACTTTTGATGGGTAGTATATAATGCATGCTATGTGTGTACATGTATGATGCACATGCTACCTGTCCACGTATGATGCATGCGTTGTCTGTACACGTATAATGCATGCTATACGTGCAAATTATGGTGCATGTGATGTATGTATGTGTGTAATCGTGGAAGAAAATTCAGATTTGATCAATAAACGACATGGCAATTGCTGTGGAGATTTCGATGGATTGCAAGATTTGAAAAGTCAAAAATGTCTCGACAAGGAGAACCTGTCCTTTCAACCCTTGCGAGTGCATCTCACTCACGGAGGTCAATACAGTCGGGAGTCTCCAGAATCCATTCGTGAGGGACAGAGTCATATACGTTTTTGTAGTCAATCCAGCTCACATGCTGGTATGTTTTCATCAGTTCAGAAATATTTTCTGTTTTTACAATAACTTGATTTTTGCACCACCAACATCCCTTCATCGCCCCCTCCTGCTCTCTATAAATTATGTCGTTGGAAGAGCAATATATGTCAAACACCCTGTGAAGACATGTTAGGGGGTGAGGGATGTTAGATGATTCATCTCTCTTTTGCAGAACCATGGAGTAACATCCCCTGTATCCAAAAGATATGAAACAGTGAAGTAATGGTGTTTGGACACAAAATAACAGTTTCCAATACTGGTTTGGAATACAATCAGGCTCTGGTGATGTATAAGATTTGGACTTTTCAGGCAATCTGTCGTGGCACAGTTATTTTCTCATGCATTACAATGACTTACGGATCCATGATGCCTCTAGGTTACTGTTGCCGATTTCGGACCACCAACTGTTTCCAGAACCTTTCATTGGCATACATTGGAGGCCGTTTATTAAGATCACCATTACCTCTTTACTTGGTTTGCCTGTGATGTTTTTCTGTTTTAATTTTGTTTCTTTATCTGTTTTTCCGTTTCACTTTCTTTGAAGGGAGTCAACAATTTGGAAAAAAATTTTTTTTCTTTCTTGGTCTTGTATTTCAATTTGAATGTTCTCCAAATCGACATTGGCTTTCTTGTATTTTCTTGTTTCAGTTAGATTCACACTGAAACTGTTTTTCATTGGTGTGCAATTGCTATCTTTCGATGGTTTGAAAACTATGTAAAGTTGCTTGAAGTAAACACTTCTTTAGGGAGAAGGCGACCATTAGCGATGCACTTGTGCACTATTTGTCTTTTGTAAATAAAATATGTTTAAAACAAACAAACATACTCACAATTAAGTTGAAATGAAAAAAATCAGTCCATTATTTAAATCAATTTCATTTTTTAGGAAAAGATACATTTCGTTGTTTCATTCGCCTCCTTTTTTCTGATGGTAAATTACATATTTCATCATAAATATGGTAAAACAAAATATAAAAATATAAACAAGATCTTCAGAGAAATCTGCCATGAAAAGAGAAGAATCAGGTTCAGAAATGTCGGTGGCAGTTGGCTCTAAACCAGGTGAACTTTCACTGCAAATTGGAGAGCGATTGATGCAAACGTCCATGCGAGGTTTTGGGTCTGCTGCCAATATGTTCAGGCACAGGTTTCTGGTGGATTCCTGTTGCTCACAACTGTTTGTCAATTATCTAGAACTGAATAAATGAAGCTGAAAGTTCACCGACGTTACTGTTTGAACCAATGTCTACACTACAATTGAATCAAGAGCTTTGGTCTGATTTTTCGATGCGGTTGCAATGGCATGCTAACTATAGGCAGTGGGAAGATAGGGGTCAATTTTCAGTGACCCGTGATTGTCCTAAGAGGCGACTAACGGGGTCGGGCTGGTTGGCACATGCCATCGTATCCCAGATGCGTAGATCAATACTCATGATGTTGATCACCGGATTTTCTGGTCCAGACTTGATTACAGATCGCCGCCGGCCATATAGCAGGAATATTGCGGCGTCAGGCAACAAACAACTAAACCAACAAACAAATATAGACAGCGGTCTGTGTATACTAACATGAATGTGCATAATTTGTTAGAACATATTTGAAATGTAAACGTAATATTGAGCAATTTTTGCAATACCTTTATTTTTGCCACTATTGAAACGTAACTGGCTCTTATCACAAATACTGGGCTTGGATACATCTAAAAATAGTAGTGTACTAGAGCGTCACTCACGCCTCATTCATTCGGTGAACTGGAGCTTCACTGGTGCACGTTTACCACAGTGACCTGGAGCTTCACTAATGCCTGTTTGTCTCAGTAAACTGGAGCATCACTGGTGCACATTTGTCTCAGTGAAATGGAGCTTCACCCATGCCTGTTTGTCTCAGTGACCTGGAGCTTCACTCATGCCTGTTTGTCTCAAGGAGGTGGAGCTTCACTCATGCCTGTTTATGACAGTGAACTGGAGCTTCACTGGTGCACGTTTGTCTCAGTGAAGTGGAGCTTCACTCTTGCGTGTTTGTCTCAGTGACCTGGAGCTTCACCCATGCCTGTTTGTCTCAGTGAGGTGGAGCTTTACTCATGCGTGTTTGTCTCGGTGAACTGGAGCTTCACTCATGCCTGTTTGTCTCAGTGAACTGGAGCTTCACTCATGCCTGTTTATTTCGGTGAACTGGAGCTTCACTGGTGCACGTATATTTCAGTGAACTGGAGCTTCATTCATGCCTGTTTGTCTCGGTGAAATGGAGCTTCACTCATACCTGTTTGTCTCAGTGAACTGGAGCTTCACTCATGCCTGTTTGTCTCGGTGAACTGGAGCTTCACTCATGCCTGTTTGTTTCGGTGAACTGGAGCTTCACTGGTGCACGTATATTTCAGTGAACTGGAGCTTCACTCATGCCTGTTTGTCTCGGTGAAATGGAGCTTCACTCATGCCTGTTTGTCTCAGTGAACTGGAGCTTCACTCATGCCTGTTTGTCTCGGTGAACTGGAGCTTCACTTGTGCACGTTTATCTCAGTGAACTGGAGCTTCACTCATGCCTGTTTGTCTCAGTGAACTGGAGCTTGTCTCATGCACGTTTATCTCAGTGAAATTGAGCTTCTCTCATGCACGTTTATATCAGTGAAATAGAGCTTCAGTCATGCCTGTTTATGACAGTGACCTGGAGCTTCACTTGTGCACGTTCATCTCAGTGAACTGGATCATCACTCATGCACGTTTATCTCAGTGAAATGGAGCATCACTTATGCACGTTTATCTCAGTGAACTGGAGCTTCACTGATGCACGTTTATCTCAGTGAACTGGAGCTTCACTCATCCACATTTATCTCAGTGAACGGGAGCTTCACTGATGCACGTTTATCTCAGTGAAATGGAGCTTCACTCATCCACGTTTATCTCAGTGCACTGGAGCATCACTCATGCACGTTTATCTCAGTGAACTGGAATTTCAATTACCTCCTGCTTAGCCTGCGCAAGACCTCCACTCACTTGATGTATTGTGCTTGCCTTTTAAAACAAAATTTACTTTGATTGTGACAACTAATTTATACTTTCTGTATTTTTAGAGCTGTCGACCAGTTTTATCTGACGAGTTTCCCAGTGGCTAACCTGGGTTTGGTGCCTGGGACTGGTGGAGCCAGACAGGTGGTATGGCGCCCGACGCGGGACGACATTGGTTCGTACATGTTGATGGTACGAGCCTCAGATATTAACGGGTAGGTCCCTTCCTTCAGATAATGTTCATTCTTCAACAGTGCTAAACAAGTGAATACGAAACTATTGTGTCACACCTTGTGTGCGTGTAGGGAATAGTTGAATGATCATGGCATATCTTCCGAGCCATATGGTATTGACAAATGGGAAATATAGGGTCATATCTGTTGGGGAGTTGGCGATCAGATCAAATGGGCTCATATAGTGGGTGTCATGAAATGGTGTCATGCAAGTCATTAAAGAAGTTTAGGGTCAGATTCAAAATGTTGTGTTTGGCAGCGAACGTCACTAATATCGGTTAAATATCGGATACTGTTGCACAATACGGGGCGCATTGCCGTCAGTTATTGAGATACCACCAGATACCATAATGGAACCACCCAGAAACGATCATACTTTACGAGATGATCATCCAGAAAATGCTCATTTGGATATCTCCAGGCTAAGTACCTTCAATCATGGATGTTGAGAGTGAATCTCGATTCGTAAGAAATAATAAGCTCAGCACCAACGTCGATTATCAAAGTGCTGATTGTCTCTACACCACTGATGCCTCTGATTGAAATAACGACCAGTTAGTTGTGATATGTTTTGTTGACATCATTTTGCAAAAAAACAAACAAAAATCTTCTGTAATACATGTACACATGTGAGGCAACAGATACCAGGAACAACACACAGTGGAAAACCTTTCTTTGTTAAACCATCTGAAGTTACATACACGAAGTTCTTAAAACCAGGGTGCCAATGCAAATAACAGCTGATGTCTGTGTGAAAGAATAATTAACAGTCGTAGTCGAAAACAGAACTGCTTATAGTATAAGACATAATTGCTCACTTTACTAAAAATAAATCACTATCTAAACCTTAAATGCAGGCTAGGACAAACGATTGGCTGGCTAAAACCCAATGACACTCAGCATTATGACCAATATGACGTTTCATTTGCCAAAGTCATCAACCGAAAAATAATGCCTCCCAATTCCAGTCACTCATTCTGTGTCATGTCCTGTTTCCTTGGTAAGATATATAGACCTCTTGCACATATTTAATGAGCAACTCTCAATTCAAACACCAAGCCAAAGTTGCATTCATTGTAACAAATACACGAAAGAGCAACCTCCCACCCCAAATCAGTCCAATATGATCTTACCCAAAGACTGTTAGTACAACCCGGGAATGATGGAACACTGCATCAATTTCAAGTTAAAGTGGGGCGGACTAGTGGTTAAATCGTTCGTTCGTCACGCAGAAGGCCCGAGTTCGATTCCCCTCATGGCTACAGTGTGTGAAGCCCATTTCTGGCGTCCCCCTGGAATATTGCTAAATAAAACTTAACTCACTCACTCACTCGCACTCCAGTTGAAGCCCCCTCTCTGTATTCCCTATCTTCCGATCCTGATCCTTATTCCAATTATGTACATTCTACTGCACATTCTATTGCATTGTACATCCTTGCACTTTGGTTATTCGGTGGAAAGTAATGTTTAAAAAATACCCAATCCCACTAACTTACAACCTTACAAAACAGACTGATTTCACATGGTTCCATGGTTACCCTGGGATCCCAAACACCTTTGACCGAAGGAGGCTTCCCGTTACCTTCGTACGTTTCTGTCGGTTCTGGACATTTCTGTAACATCTTATGAATGATGTAACTTGCAGAAGGTATATTTGCAGTAAAGTTAACAGTGTGGGAATAGCTCAGTAGGATAGCTGTCACCTAAAACAGATATCATCCTAATGAGAATGTGTGATACTGTATTCTGAAGGTGCTTCTAATAACCATTGCCTTCAACGCTGTGACAGATGCATTTACGTGTCCACAGTCCAGGTGAACTTTGAGTTGACGACACTGTTATGAATACACAATACCATTTAGAAAGTGGTCAAATGTAACATATATACTGAAGGCAAAAGAGACGTCGTAATATTGGAAATGACATTTAAGTATCAATGGAGTATCAATATACACCGGAAGTCAAGTTTGAGGAAAACATGAATCGTGGTCGTATGACCGATCTATTTTGTGACGTCTCCAACCCAGGAACCTGTTTTCATTAAACCACTTTAAAAAACAATCTCCAGCGACGTTTCTTTTGTAATTCAGTATATTTGGGTTTACACTTTCTAAGTAAAGTACAGATTTTGTACTTTTGTTGAGTTGAGTCCCATGCGGGATTCGAACCCACACCCTCAGAGTCAGGCACCTAATCGCCAGCACACAGAGTCAGACGCCTAACCCGCTCAGCCACTGCGGTTTCCAAAGAAAGTGTAATCCCAGATATAACATATGACGACTCTGTTCATTGGGGATAAATGCTGAGATGTACGTAGCATTACATTATGTGTAGGGATGACAGCAACACAAAAACCTGAAACGGAAAACAGAAATATGAATGTTCACCATTATTATGATTCAGACATTCCACACCTAAATTCCATTCCTAAATCAATGCCCCTGATTAACCACATTTGCTACCAAATATTACCATCTTTAATGTGAGTTTGATGGACATATGGATCAGCATGTAACACCTCCAACGAAAATAACAGGCATTGAGCCTATGTCATGGGCGAGGATGCCAGCGGCTACCATCACATCATCGGGGGAATATTAAATATGAATATAGCTATCCCAGACCGCACGCCTGCCTGGGGTCATAGAAAGCATTCGCATTCGAAAGGTTGTCAACAGAGTGCTTGGTCCACATGAGCCAGTCAACGTTTAGAGATCGCACCGGCTACATGGACTGATATACTTTGTCAGTTAAAAGGGATTGCAGAGACAAGCCTACAGGTGCTATGGAGCTCTCTAGGGAAGACTTTTTAGAGGATTCTGATTAATCTGGACTTTGATTTCGACCTGAAGGACACTTCTCTGCAGGCTATACTTTTGCAGACAAGTTGTCGGCGTTAGAGATCTTCTTTGGGGATTCCATGACTCCGCTCCTGGAGCAGGATGACTGCATTGGAAATTAAATGTCTGTAAGCGTCGCTCTTAAATACCGGACCAAGAGCACATTTCCAGTCCTCCACAGATTAATACTGGTCTGTATTCCCTTAAGTACCCGAATCAGCTGGGCCGTACAGACAAAAGACACTTATACTACGGAAAATGCACATCTTTCAGACAAGTCCCCATCGTTGCTTTCAAGGTGCAGGGCCATCTCTCCATTAAAGAAGGGCGTATGTGGGGTTTATCACGTTATCAACAACGTTCAATGGCTCAATTGTTGGTTTGTCTTGGGCGTCAGGAAAATGCGGCTGAGAAACCTTTTAGATTTCACAGCATGTGGCACAGCTCTAGCTTCAGTACACGCCAAAGAAAGATCCACGTGGGGAAAGTCCCTATACTCACCAGTTTGCTTTGTTAGTTTGAGATTTAGGAAGCAACTTAATTATCACTACGAAGTGGAATTTAACAGTAGTACTATCAGGACTTCTGCATCAGCCGTTTGGGGATGGTTGAATCCACAGGTTTGGACACATACACACGGACTGGACACTCGTGTGTTGGACAACTGCCTGGACAAGCAGACACACCTTGCATTGAGTTATACTTTAACCCAGGCCTGAGGTAGCTTGCCGTGAACGCACGAATCTTTCTTGCTGCACAACTTGAGTCTAACACCTCAAATGGTGACTAAGTTTATACTGGTGAGTGGTGATTATCCAGTCAGGGAGAAACCTACATTCACGCCTCGTGGATGAGCAATGAATGTGAAGTGATGTCATTGTGCCGTCATCAGATGTACTGTCAACCGATGATGTCATGATACATGATCACCAGTAGGTTAATCTCAAGAAGGACTTCAAGTGTTGTCACAACAATCACACGCATGTCTGTTTGTCATATCAGTTAACATTAGTCTCTGTTGCTTATGGCTATTTCCTTACTTGTGTTGCCGCCACTCTGGGCCCACGAAGCATTATGAGGGCTCCGTCACTCAAGTGTATCCGTAAGAAGTTTGTACATTATCAACAATGATAATAATTCTACGATTACTACCTATAACACTTCAGGATTAGGCCAACTCATCTTTCCCACAGGAATCCCAGAGTACCTTCCTTTTAAGGTATCCTTGGAAACATTATTAGGTTCCCTCGCTTCCGCAAGGGGAGATAACTCGGGTAAAAGGCAATGAAATGTTAGAGGTAGTATTATTCCATTCTTGAAAATGGCATGTGCTGGTGATAGTTAATAAGTCTACTTTGTGACAGATAACAGAAAAGGAAAATATTTTGTATCCTCCCCAACATTGGTTGACATTGATGATCCTCACATGCAGAATTACATCTGTTTGTCAACTGCCATCAACTAGTCCATTCGAAGTCCTGGTGCCAGTAAGATTGTTTTGTTGTACCAGTATTGCAGGATCTATAAGTCTCAGATAACATTAATTACAACACTTACTGAATTAACTTGCAGACAAGAGAGTGCAGAAAGGAGCTTTGTGATTCAAGTCAGAGGTAATGTAGCGCAAACATGCAGACATGTTATCCCACACTTATCATGACTTCTATAGTTGCCATCGACAGAACCGGGACATTACTTAAACGATTCATTAATTTGTGTAACATATTATTTGGTTTTATTTATTCACGTTATAATCTAGTGTTTCCATGAATGCTAACATGGCTTTAGAATTAAACTCGTATCTTATGAAACTGTCAGGTTTCACACGATAATAATATATAACATTGGTATTCGTTTGTTTCTTCTTTGATCACACTGCAATATTCGAAAAGGTATTTTCATTAGCATGTGCTATGTGGATAGGTGACGGTGCTTTCTGTAGGTGTATAAGCACTAAATATATAAAATATGAGTCCAGATATTTCTTCTTGCCAAATCTCCTTTATATCAAGATCTTATATATGTATGTATGTATGTATGTATGTATGTATGTATGTATGTATGTATGTATGTATGTATGTATGTATGTATGTATGTATGTATGTATGTATGTATGTATGTTACAGTCAGTGTCTACAATCAGGCAATGTGTACAATGACTGAAATAACCAGTCAATGTGTACATTGCCTGATTCACTCAGTCATTGTGTACATTGTCTGAAATTGCCAGGCATTGTGTACATTGCCTGATTAATTAACCCAAATATTGTACAGATTGACTGACTGTTGAAGAGGGATTATTGGTTAAATCAGTCATTGTACACATTGCCTGATTGTAGACATTGACTGTAAGATATGTATGTGTGTGTGTGTATATATATATATATATATATGTAAGATATGTGTGTGTGTGTGTGTATATATATATATATATATATATATATATATATATATATATATATATATACACACACATACATATCTTACAGTCAATGTATATATATACGGAATAAGTTGAATGATTAGATTAATATGGAGATTAATATATTTACTGTCTTAACTTCTGTTATAATATATTCTACAAATTTTGAATAACCTTAAGCGTTTCTGAATAAACCTTACATTGAATTTAATGTTCTACGTTTCAGAAAGGGAGCCATTTACTGAATTGAAACATCCGGTAAGTTAGGATCCTGGTGTGTGTGTGTGTGTGTGAGAGAGAGAGAGAGAGAGAGAGAGAGAGAGAGAGAGAGAGAGAGAGAGAGAGAGAGAGAGAGAGAGAGAGAGAGAGAGAGAGAGAGAGAGAGAGAGAGAGAGAGAGAGAGAGAGAGAGAGAGAGAGAGAGAGAGAGAGAGAGAGAGTGTGTGTGTGTGTGGGGAGAGTGAGAAAGGATACATGTAAAAAGGTTAATGATAACTCTTGCACACATTGGAAAGAAGGACGTTTAACAAGATCAACAACTATATGCTGACTGTCAGAACTATTATTTAACAATTTGAGAAGTTGACAGTTAAAGTCTTCTGTTGAAAATTCTGAAGATGAGTTTGCAATCATAATACAGGAATTATGGCAATTTGTAAGAATGATGTGTTTTAAGCCAGAAAAGGGTGGAAAGAAAAGCTTGTCCACAGGTTCTATGAAACATGTTTTCAGTGCATATGCTCGAAGCCCTGAAAGAAATATGTGTTGTCAAAATACTGTGGTTGGCACAGAATAGTATATGTTTGTTTGTATGCTGCACCTGTTATATAGACATATAGAGTTAATATGATAGAAGTGGATATTTCTTAGTAATTTTCATAATGAACAAAATCGTAGTGTCTTATCGATACGCCATCTCCTCCAAATATCATGCATAGTTTCAAGTTCACAAATCCATAATAAGTTCAGCATACGTCTATTTTCTCACTTACTACTGACTATGTTCATACCTAACCAGAAGGGTTCTTATGTCAACTAACTCTGAAACATTGAATATAAACTACTGGGCAAAAGAAAGTTATCACCGACTTCACTTGACCAACAATAGAAACAAAGACGTATGTGCGATTTACAATAATCATTATAGAAACAGAAATCATTTTCCAATAATTTGACTGAAAATTCTTTGCAATGCTGGTCGTGCATTTGCCGCAATTCATTAAGAAAGAGTCAAGGGGTCGAAATTAATAAATTCACAAATCAGAGTTCATTCAAAAGGTGCATAAAGAATCACATAATGAGACAGGAGTCAAGGGACACGTCATCAATAGGGAAAGTGATCACACTGGGCATCCATACACGCCAACACACGTCTCCTCACCCGCTGACGATCAACATGATCCCATATATATGACCATATATGGTCAATTGGGTTCAGGTCTCGAGAACGCGCTGACCAAGGCAATATGTTGACGTTAACGTTGTGCAGGTATTCTCGAACAATTCTGGCTGTGTGAGGCCTTGCGTTGTCGTGTAGCAAAAGGACTCCTCTTGGCTGTTGTCGAATAAAGGGCACCACAAAAGGTCTCAAGACCATCCCTGTATCACTGGGCATTCAGATTTCTTCTGAAGATAATCAGGGTTGTTGTTCTCTTGTCACACATGCCATCCCATATCATGACGCCTTCTCCATCGAACGGATGAGCTTGTTGAACGCAGTTTGGCGCCAATCGCTCTCCTCTGTGTCGAGAAACTCGAACTCAGTCATCGTTTCTAAACCGACTGAACCGACTTTCATCTGTAAAGAGCACTCTCTCCCAGTCATGTTGCTGCCATGGACGTACAGTTCGTGCCCATTGCAGTGTGCGTTGACGATGTAGATGAGTCAAGGCCTTTCCACGGAAGGGGCGGTAGGCTCGCATACCAACCATACCAAGTTCTCGGTTCTGGCCTGTTTGCTGGTAGTGGGTGATCAATTTGCTTATGGTGGCCTGGTTGCAGTTGAAGGTTCCTGCCAGCTTACGTTGTGCAGCCTCCAGATTGGCCATACCCATCGCCCTGTCCCGTTGCGCTTGCATAGGTCTTGGCATATTAGTGGTGTTTTTTTGGTTACAACATGCTTGTTCTGCCTAACATCGGTATTTATATGGCACCATCATGCACGTGCGTTTGGACCAATGTCCCAGAATTACGTTTTTCACCTTTTGCAAAATGGACGATTAGTATAAAGTTTTCGGACAGCTGCGTTATTATCGGGACCATGTTGCGTTTTGACGAATGGTTTCTGCTTGGGTTCAAACATGTACAAGCGTTTTTGTTTTATATGCAATTACTTTAAAAGTGATAAATGTTTGTGTAAAACAATTGTTAAAACTAGTGATAAATACGCTTAAGAACCATTCAGTCTGACCAACACTTCCAAACAAAACCATGACCAAAAGAAAATAATATATTCTTGATATTTGAAACCCCATGCTTTTTTTCCGACAACATCTAATTTAACTAACATATTATAATACTGTCCGTGATATCTGTTTTAAGACATACTGAGGACTGTTTCATGCATCTTGTGAAAGTAGATTAGGGGCAGTAAGCGCTACAAATAGGGATGCATGCACCATGAATTATATGGTTACTCAAGTATATTAAGTTTGTCAACATTTAGAAGATGTGTAGACATGAACCACATTGGCTGAGTGTCAATGTGTCAGGTGGTTTGTGCAAGCTTGGCAGCAAACGGCGAATCAAAACATGACTGTTCACCGGACCCAAACTTTGAAATGTCTTCCCCGGGATTCAGTTCAAACAGATAAAGGACTATATTTTTGCCTTTTGTTCTGCAGACGGAATCCAGACTGTTTGCTTATGTACCAAGCAATACCACCTACCAATGCCAGTATGAGGATACGTGCATCATGTCTATACCGGTTATAACAAGGTGTGTCTGCTACTGAATTAGCTGGCTGGAAATCGTATCACCAATATAATAGGTTCCAAGAATATCTGAACATCTTGTCAACCGAACCTAACCTCTGCAGCACGAAAAGGATTAAAGTTTCCTTATGCCATGATTATTTAACTAACATATATTCCAGTAGAACCAACGAGATCTTCCAAATATTTCATCTTAGCAGTACCATGTACATTTGCTCTCGTGAACCAATTTTGTGCCGATAATCAAAGTTCCAGTTTCAGATGTGGCTGTGTGTTTGGTTGTATAAACGTCTACTTCAGCTTTCAAGTGTCTTCAGTAAGGGGGAAAAATGCTGGTCAGCTCTTGGAGTGGACAGGACCCTTCACCAGTGCCCCTGGGACACTTCAATACCATGCTGCTATAAAGCTGGACACCATGGCACCTGGTGTATACTCAATGTGCCTGAGTTTGGAGGCGACCGTCAGGTATGTGTTGCACACATAGTCAGACACCCTGAAATCAGTTTCAATCATATAAATTCCAATAGTCACTTGTCTTACATAAGTTCAGTAAAATTATCTTGAAATAGAGTTTACTTGTAAACATACTTCTCAGCTAATTAATAGGCTCAAACTTTAGCCCCAAACATTAACGCAATTGTGGGGATGCTAAAGAATGAGCAAAGGTAACACCTGATGTTAAAGGAGAATAGGGGGTCATTCACATTGTACATGCTTCTCCATAAAAATCATCATCACCCCCTAGCAATAAATTATGAACGGTCCCTTATGGCCTATATTTAATCATTTTAAATAAATTGGGGCATTTTGAGTACCCCCCTGACCATATTTGCTGGGGCATTTTGTAGCTGGGGCAATTCAACTGGCAATCGGACTTGATTTAATTTATGCTAAAACTACCACTGACAGTAGGTTGTAACAGGGAATGATGGAGTATATATGAATCTCGTGGGTACTTCTTCCTTCTTCAGCCTAGCTTTGGGATTTTCATACCCCATGTGTGCATGTCTCTTTCATATGCGCCCGACTCGGAATGATCGGAACATTTCTCCTGCCTAAATCTGTCTCTTTACTTGGAAAACGTAAGAAATTGTGACTCTTTCCATTGTTCGATGATTCCGTGCATCCCCAGGCAACGGAACACACCATCGTAGCATTTACAAAAGCGACAGAAACAACACGCTTTGTATTGCTGTAGCGCTTGTTCTTTGGCAATATGGCGGACTCTAGTCACATATGACGTCACGAGCGGAAAGGTCACGTGAGTTCCAGAGGAATATGCAAAATGGCCGAAGTCCACATAACAGAAACTGTTTTCGCGATTAAAACATAATAAAGCATATTTTTTGAAATAACACTTGGGGTACATGTTTCTGATGACTTTATCTTTCACCCAGCAAATTATTGCAATTGTCTAGTATTCTCCTTAAAGTAATTGACCATAAGTGAGTGATTTGAAGTCAGTAAACTTATACATGTATGATATTGGCTCAAGTATGACACACCTGTATCCCTGGAGTTAACATCTTGGATATCTCATGTAATCTGACACTGTCCTCGTTGACACTCGGTGGTGGCTTTGGAGTAGGGCTGCCGAATCATTTTGCTTTCATACTGCCTCTCCAACAAGTTGGTTCATCTCGAAATACCTCTAGAAAAACTAGATCGTTCAACTGAAAATAATTCTTTAAACGTTGAAGAAGTTGGGAAGCATCCTTGTTTCCCCAAGGCCCGTGAAGATGCGGGTTAGAATTGGTCTTCAGTAACCCATGCTTGTCATACGATGCGACTAACGGGATCAGGTGGTCAGGCTCGCTGACTTGGTTGACACGTGTCATCGTATCCCAACTCAGTAGATTGATGCTCATGCTGTTGATCACAAGATTGCCTGGTCCAGGCTTGATTATTCACAAACTGTCGCCATATATAGCTGAAATATTCGGCGTTAAACAACAAACCAACATGAATCCTTGTTTCCTGCCTTGAAGCTTTCGAATATCTACAGATTACACTCAACACTTGGGTTATTTCTAAAGCTGTCTGTGAGATTTGTGGAGAAGTAAAGAAAATGTATTGTGGTTCACCTCTGGTGGAGGGAGCACGAAGACAGCAATATCCGAATCTTAGGTTTTTCAAAATGTTTGCAAATCTTGAGGCTGCTGTGTCTGTGCACATATTGCTGTGGTATCATACGTGACAGAACTGTTGTCTCTGTGATATGTCTAAGGAGGACATTGTTGCAGAGCTTGCAAATCAGCGTGTTACGGCAGCAGTATGTCAAACAAATATCGATCTCTGACATTTACTCGATCATCCCTTTCGCAGTCAATCAAAGCAGGTAATTTTGATGTTGGGATGGACGTGTATGTTCCTAGTCCACTCCGATGTTACAAATGTCAACTTTGTGGTCATGGTTCTAATTCATGTCGTAACTCTGTGCTATGTAATCGCTGCGGTGACCTCTATGAGGCTACAGACTGTGAGAATGATTACAAATGAGCAAACTGTGACACATCCTGCTTCATCCAGATCAGGCCCTGTGTGACAAAGGGAATAGAAAATATTGAAACTTAAATATGAAAAAAGCATTTTATACCTTGATGCGAAAAAACTATTCACACATCAGTCTTCATCTCCGTTGAATATCGCGTATTCCGCTGCTGTCATCTGCTCTGTAGTAAGGTCTTCTACTGCATATTAGTCTTGACATGGGCGTAGTCAGAAAAACCTGTTATTTCAGCCACTCTACCCGCGTCCCCAGTCTACATCTGGATCTTTGGGGGATGTGTCCATACTAATACTAAAGGGAAAATCCTTACGGAATCTATTTCAGAGAATAGCCTATGAATATTTAATGATGATTCAACCACCTATTTACATCCAGCTACTGGAACATATTCTGCCCTAGATCTGGCATTCACCGATTACACCTTGTATAATGAAGTTGAATGGACGGTCCATGATGACCTATGTGGCAGTGATCACTTCCCTACAATTCTCAAAACTATCAAGCCTGGCGATGATCAACTTACAAAGAAGGAATTTTACCAAACAATACCAAAGTCCTCTGCCAATCCACATATTCATAAATCATGCTGTAATAAGGAATGCAAACAGGTCCAGGGAGGGTAGGAAGGAAGCAGAAACATATTCACCGACATCCTGCAGTCTATAATTTACAATAACTTACATTTGAAATGCCAAGGCTCGACGGAAGTTTTAACAGAATAGGCGTTTTCCGGAAACTATGTTTCCATAGGAGAAGAAAAGGAAACATTCAAAGCCAGACAATGGCGACAATTAAAATAAATTATTTCCATTACATGAGCTACATACAACCTTTGAGCAAGCTCATGATACAGCATCAAGGGAAGATAATATTCTTTATCAGCTTTTGAAGTATTTGCCTGAATCCTGTCTGGAAACACCTTCAGATTATATACACCCGTGCGTTAATTAAGCACCACCCTATTATAAAAATACGATGTGATGCTACAGAAACGTTAGGGTATAGCTATCAGTTTAATCAACCTATAGTTAAAGAAGCTTTATCCAATGACAGTTTTACAAATACCATAACCTTTTCTATTCTTTATGAAAGAATATGTTGATGAAAATGTGATGGAACTGAATTTTTACCCAAAATAACTATTCCTCTCCTGCTCAAACTACACAATTAAATTAAGTTTTGACTAAAAATGACAATTCTCTTATATACCAAGATGACATTTACACATCAAGTAAACTTTAATTATGCATAATCAGGAAGAACCCGAATGTCAAAAATTCCAACAAATCATCAGACTGCTAACTGACAAAAACTAAAAAAGGCCACATTAACAAAAGTTTGGAATAAATCTTTTAGATTCTGAGTTTATTGTATTGAATAAATTCTTCTCCTTGCCGGATACAGATAATTACAGATAAAATCTATTTGTTTTGTTTGTGAAGCAACTTTTACTGCATTTTCAAATTTTACTTCTTTTTAGTGTGACTGTAACTTATATCTTAGTTTACAAACTTTTATCCATTCACAATAAATAACTATATTATAGGCCACAGAACAATCAATTATTACTTTCACTTTTCAAAGTAAGGTCACTTGTTATAGGACAGAAATACACCTGTTTTAAATATAGGCAATTATCCTAATTAAAGTACATGGTAATTTCAATGATTTCGTTTTTGAGATGTTAACTGCTTGCTCTATCAAATTATAAAGGTTTTGGGAAAGAGTTTAGAATTCCATTTCAGATAAAATTAATTGGTAAAAATACAGGGTGATGCTTATTTTATGCACGGATGTATATATTTCATCAAATATGGAGCTTCGTGGCAAAATGCCTTAGTAGTCCCTGTAAAAAAAACCTGGCTTGGATCATACACATACTTCTAATTACACACCAATACCTTTAACAAGCTGTAGTGTGTAAAACCATCGAACGAACCTAATTACAAATAGTCGATGTGTTTTCCGGGAAACTAACTAACTAACTAACACTTTGATTTTGAGAAAGCATAAAACATTTCGTGGATGTTAATCCAGATTTGAAGAGGACATTATGCAACGCTGCCGTATTGGTCATTCAAATTATACTCATGAATATTTATTAAAGGGTACTGATCCTCCGGTGTATACTCCTTGTGATGAAAGAACCATGGTCAAGCATGCCCTGCTTGCCTGCATTTATTTTTTTCATCACAAAGGATGAAAATTTGACTTAAAAAACAGTAACGGACCCTTTTTATAAAGTTAATTCTCATTGAATTAATTAAACGAAAAACTTTGATTAAAAGGCTTTGTAAATAGATAAATGGTATTTTATGATTGGCAGATTAAATTAGTAACTGATAATGTTTGTGACTGCATCCTGAAAGGGGATTAACATATTGTAAACGTATTGTCCCCCTGAGAGGGCATGTAAACCAAGTCTTTCAAAGTATATTTAACCCTACCACGTTTTTAATCGTAAATATGTGTAGAATACACATGGTCTCTTGTATTGTGCCTAAATTCAGTTGTTGGCAATCTATAGAACATTTTTCTCTTGTACTTGTGTGCCTAATGTATCGTTTTATGGTAACATATTAATTACAAATCTAAATCTGTGACATCCTTGATATTGTACTGTTATTTATCTACTGTATTTGTTTCTCTTTATTCATGTTAAACTCTCATGGTCACTATATGGCTGAAATACTGCTGACGTCATTTTACTTTCCTGATAACTCACTACAACCCCTGTGCAACTACAGTGTAATTGTTCTATACTACCCATCAAAAGTTTAGACTCACTAATGTAAATGTAGCCGCTTACTTCAGTCAACTAGATTTTGCTAAATATTCCATAATGTTTAAAGGTACTATTTACACATGAACTGATGTGTTGTAAAACATATTCGTCACGTTGAAAATGTTTTTTTCATGAGTTCAATTAATCATGAAACTCCATGAAAATTGGCGAATTCTTAACAAAACTTTACACCAATACGCAGCCGTTCACATGCACGATATTTGCACATGCTTTTAAAGAAAATTGATCCATGGTCCTTGTGCAATTCATCTGCATAAGGTATGCAGATGGTTCCCCCAAGTTAGTGGAGAACTTCATCTTCGATGTAACCGTATCTTAACTTTTGATGGGTAGTATAATTATGATGCAGTTTCTTGTTTGTTGCAGTAGCATCAACAAAAACATTTGTGTCACTGCAAGTATTACTAATAAAGGTGAGTTTGTGAAGCAATATCAGACTCTGCAACTGTCCATGGCAGGGAGGGGAATATACCAGGGGAGGGGAATATACCAGGGGAACATGTATAACACAGCTGGGAGGCAAGGTCATTTCAGCAACTTATTACTCCTGTGGAGTACAGGAGAACCGAGTACAGTACGTATGGAATACATGTGGAGTACAGGAGAACCGAGTACAGTACGTATGGAATACATGTGGAGTGCAGGAGTACCAAGTGGAATACATGTGGAGTACGTGAGTACCAAGTGGAATACATGTCGAGAACAGGAATACCAAGTGGAATACATGTGGAGTGCAGGAGTACCAAGTGGAATACATGTGGAGTACAGGAATACCAAGTCGAATACATGTGGAGTACAGGAGTACCAAGTGGAATACATGTGGAGTACAGGAATACCAAGTGGAATACATGTGGAGTACAGGAGTACCAAGTGGAATAGATGAGGAGTACAGGAATACCAAGTGGAATAAATGTGGAGTACAGGAGTACCAAGTGGAATACATGTGGAGTACAGGAATACCAAGTGGAATATATGTAGAGTACTGGGCACCAAGTGGAAGATACATGTGGAGTGAAGTGAAGTAAAAGAGTACAAGGAGTGGAGCACCAAGTGGAATACAAGAGGGCCATACAAGTGAAGTAAAGAGTACCAAGTGGAGAACATGGAGGGCAAGAGTGCACAAGTGGGTACAGGAGTACCAAGTGGAGCACATGTGGTGTACAGGTACCAAGTGGAGTACAAGAGGGGGGCGTACAAGTGGAGTAAAGAGTACCAAGAGTGGAGTACATGAGGGCGTACAAGTGGAGTAAAAGAGTACCAAGTGGAGTACATGAGCGCGCACATGTGGAGTGTACAAGGAGTACACAAAGGAGCACACAAGTGGTGTACAGGAGTACCAAGTGGAATACAAGAAGGCATACAAGTGGAGTAAAAGAGTACCAAGTGGAGTACAAGAGGGCGTACAAGTGGAGTAAAAGAGTACAAAGTGGAGTGGACACCATGGAATCACAAGTGGAGTACATGAGGGCGCACATGTGGTGTACAGGAGTACCAAGTGGAGCACATGTGGTGTACAGGTGTACCAAGTGGAGTACAAGAGGGCATACAAGTGGAGTAAAAGAGTACCAAGTGGAGTACAAGAGGGCATACAAGTGGAGTAAAAGAGTACCAAGTGGAGTACAAGAGGGCGTACAAGTGGAGTAAAAGAGTACCAAGTGGAGTACAAGAGGGCGTACAAGTGGAGTAAAAGAGTACCAAGTGGAGTACAAGAGGGCATACAAGTGGAGTAAAAGAGTACCAAGTGGAGTACAAGAGGGCATACAAGTGGAGTAAAAGAGTACCAAGTGGAGTACAAGAGGGCGTACAAGTGGAGTAAAAGAGTACCAAGTGGAGTACAAGAGGGCGTACAAGTGAAGTAAAAGAGCACCAAGTGGAGTACATGAGGGCGCACATGTGGTGAACAGGTGTACCAAGTGGAGTACAAGAAGGCGTACAAGTGGAGTACAAGAGGGCGTACAAGTGGAGTACAGGAGGGTGTACCCAGTGGAGTACATGAGGGAGCACATCTGGAGTAAATGTAATGTAGGCTACAACCCAATTACAGCCGTCCACCAACAATTCCTGTCACAATGATCATAATGCACGCATTTTCTAAACTAATAGTATCTGCATAATGGCAAATCTACCAACAGAAATACCTCTTGTCTTTAATATCATGTTCAGATGACTCATTCCATTTGTGTTTCACATAAGCTTTCAATTTGTTTTAAAGATCCGTGTGAATCTCTGCCATGTCAAAACTACGGGCAGTGTGTGTCAGCCATGGGAAACTTCACCTGCCTTTGTCTGCCAACCTACACTGGCACAGTGTGTGAAAAGGGTAGGTGCATTTGTGTTGTGTGTCATGTTATGTGTTTTAGTATGACCAGAAATTATTGAGAATTTTAGGAATATGTTTAATTGGATTTCTAGTATAAACAACTCCGTTAATCCTTTTTCATTAGTTTGTGAAGAGTTATCCCCCTTTGTATACTTGCTAGCAGACGACATTTTCAGTGATCCTCAGTATGGATGATTTAGAGAAGAGGAAGTTGATTTTAGAGTATTATAAGAAGGACATTAGAGCAGCTAAGGTGATTTCAAGTAGAACAGGCATCCCTTTGTCCACTGTTTATCATGTTTTGTAAAATATTGCAAATGGATATGGCATTGAGCACCAGGGAGGCGCAGGTAGGCCCACAAAATTGACTTTCAGGACAGGAGGCGGCATGTATTCTTGTTTCTAAAAACAAACGAAGGAGTTTAGAAAACTTAAGGCTGGATATGATTGAAAGAGGAACTGTGACTGTCTGTAAGGAGACAATTAGAACTGAGTTACATGCAATGGGTTGGCAGAAAAATCGAGGAATTCCATCACCGATCATGAAACCTGAACAAAAGGAGCGAAGGTAAAACTGGTGCTTACAGCATAGACATTTTAACTGGGACAAAATGTGATTTTCTCAGATGAAAGTTGTGTGTGGCTGTTTCCTAATACACTGAAATTCTGGACCAAACAAACTGAAAAACCTTTGTATCAGCGCCCAAAGTACAGTCCGAAATTTAACTTGTGGGGTGGCATATCTGTGTTGGGGGCAATGCCCCTCTGTGTATTCGAAGGGAATATGAACAGTGAGCGGTACACAGATATTCTCGAGGGACATTTAATTCCATCTGCTCACGTGTTCTATGGACATTTTTGGATTTTCCAGCAGGACAACGACCCAAAACATCGTTCAAAGCATTCACAGGCCTGGTTTCGGACCCAAAATATGACATTATTAGATTGGCCAAGCTATAGCCCTGACCTAAATCCAATAGAAAATGTTTGGGGACTTACGAAGGAAAGTGTCAATAAGAAAAATCTGACAAATATTGCTGAAATGAAAGAAGAGGTGGTCCGATATTGGAACAGCATGGACCACGACTTTCTAACTTCTTTGATCAGTAGTATGCCCCGCCACATTGAAGCCTGCATTGCTGCCCATGGTGACTTGACAAAACACTAACTGTTCACCTGTCTTTGAATCTGGAGTTATGTTCTGCTAATATTCACATTTAATATGTGAGTAATGAGTGAAAAAAATAAATAAATTACAATCTTGAATTCTCAATAATTTCTGGTTGTACTGTACATGATACACTGTACCAGTGGGAATTCAGTAGAGGTGGTGGTGGTGGTGAGTGTGGGGATGCGGGTGGGTGGGTGGGGATGCGGGTGGAGTGGGTGGGGTGGAGGAATGCAGTGATATTCTGTATTTAGACTTGCACTGTATGTACTACAACCCTAACCAGCAATTGTGTAGCGATCATTCTCACTCTGGATTGGCTGCCTGGGACCATTTGGTGACTTGAATATTACCATCTCTCTCTTTATTACTATTCACTGCTTTTGTATTTAGATGTGTACCGCCACTGTAATCATTTGGTAGTGAATTGTGTTAATATAATTAAGAATTGCATTCAAGAAGTTACTATTTCTTTGCTTTGGTGTGTGTTGGTTTCACATTGAGCCCTAATTGATTTCTGGTTAAGGCTTAGTTTCAACACATAACAGTGAACTGAATTTGAAGAGTATTAGTCAAGAAGCAAGACACCCCAAATAGTGAAAATGTGGTGCAGTCCTGGCGACCGTATCGGATGCAATTTTTCACATTCAGGAATGATTTACCTTTGATTTTAAGCCGGTTGTCATCAGCTACTGTGCAGGGGCACTTTTAAGGTGCAACATATCATTTCAGTTATGGTAGTATTTCAACCGATAACAGGATGGTTTATTTAATAACTCTGGATTGGATTAACCCATTTTCATCAAAATAGTAGTTTTGGAATGCTCAGATCATGATTTAAAATGGTTGACAATAATTATTATATATATGTGCTCATCGCGAATATATTTTGGTAAGGTCAAGAGTCACTTTTAATAGAAAGGGCATTTGATGAGAAAAATATGAGTTAAACTTTACAAATTGAATGTAATAATACCAAACTTATGTTTTTCTAATTCAGCTATATCATTTGAAGATCACATATAGTACGTTTGGTTGGCACTGTATGCATGAAAAACAATTACAAGGAAATAAAAGTTGGTACTTTGTATTTAGATCAGCAAAACATTATATAATTTCAGCTCCATACTGTACAAAGTATCAACAGTACCAAATATGTCGAAGATACTGTTGGACTATCATACAAATATCCGTTTATTGACAGTCTGGATGAAACAATAATTCAGCTGATGTCAGAAGGAGATGTGGTTTGATAAGTGTCAATATTGTTGATATTTGTGTCATTTCACGCTCCAGATAGCTGCACTATCTGCACTGACATTCTGTAAAAACCTATGTGAAACTTTGGTTTTCTTGATTTATATTACACCGGCAATCATTAATACATTGTAAAAGATATTACACACTGACCAGAAAGTCTTATTTGTATCCTACCACCAAATATACACACACTCAAATACCTCTGTTCAAAATGATTAAGCATACAGTATTTCCAATACATTTATTTTGATTGTAATAGGTGATGTAATTTCCGATTCTTTTCTAAGTTTACTAGGGTTCGAAATATGAATATTTCTTTAGGTGGGCAATTTTCAAATGTTTTCATGGCTGAAAATCCTGCCGGATATCAAAGGTATGTATTTGAGCACTTTTTATATGCTCATGTTACCAGTACTAAAAGGAAATGGTCACAGAAAACCTGGGTTCACATTGTGGTATTCACATAATATTGTTAGAGGGAAAACCAAGTTCTATGGATAGTCAACTTCTTTATGAATGAATGAATGAATGAATGAATCTCTTTATTTCCTCCAGATTATTTTCCGAAGATCATTATAAACATGTACATGAAATATTTACAGCAACATAATCACAGCAATATATTCACAACACATTCATATGGTCATATATATGTACAAAGAAATGATGAAAGGTCTAGAATGCACAGTTTAGTGAGGGAAGCAAGGAATATAGGTATTTACAGAAGAGGACAATCATACATCTCCATGACATTTCATCAATATCGTTAGTAACTAGTAGTTCACCCCCAGAAAATAGTGATAACATTTTATCTTCAGATAATAATTCTATTTTTACATAAACATCCACATTAAAGAGATCTATAAGTTTTGAAAAGAAATTATTTCTGTTGTACATATAGTGTTCACAGTGTAAAATTATATGGCAGTCATAATCATTACAATATCTTTTGCAGAGTTCACAATGTTTTGAGAATTTTCACCTTGAGCTGATTTGTACACAAAACTTTAATATATCTTTAAACTGTGGGTAAAAATACATCAAACAATACAATCTATGTACACCAAAGAAATTGTGGGTCAAGCGATATCTATTCATATCGTGCCTTACACACACGTGAGAAATCCATCGTTCAGTTTCAGATTTATTTATGCAATTAATAGTTATTCTTCGCCATGACGATTTACATGGAAACCTTCCAAAATCGAGATAGTCACTAAGATAATTGAAGAGATTGTATTTTAAACTGGTTTGAATAAGTGTGTCACATATACTGTGTAAGACAGCTGTTCTGTTTTGAAAGGTGGCTAAATGTACACAGAAAATATCCTTAAATGAATAGTTACACTTGCTGTTGCACAGCTTGCCGAGAAATAATAGTCTACATTTATCTATATAACCATCCATGCTCCACAATCCAAGGTTACCTAGCACTGAAGCAGAGGAAAAGCGCTTACCGAAACCCTGAATGCATCTGGCAAAATATCTCTGTGTACTTTCTACCAAGTCATAATCTTTACCTCGAAGAATGGGTAAAAGTTCACAACCGTAAAAGCTCGTTGGAAGTATCATTCTTTTCCATATTTTAACAGAAGAAGTAGGGTGGAGATCTTTACCATCTAAACCAAGACTTTTTAGAGAATTTACAGATTGTCGTGCTTTCTGGCAGTATGAATATACTCTAGATTTATATATAGATTTAATACCTCCATACTTAACACAATCACTTATTTGGTATTTCTGAATCACCAAATTTGAAAGAATAATTACCCAGACGTTTCTTATATTTGCAGAAAATGACACAAGTGCTTTTAGAACCGTTATACGTTAGACGCCACTTACAAGCATAGCTATAAATAGTATCAAGTGATGATTGAAGACCTTTTGGAGAGGTGGAAGCAAGTGTTGTGTCGTCAGCCAATAGAATACATGGGATATTAATGCCACTTACACAAATGCCATTGTTCAAATCTCTAAGTTCACATATCAAATCATTAATAAAAACAAGGAAAAACCAGGAAGACAAGACTCTACCTTGCCCAACACCTTGCTTGATAACATATTCATTTGATGTCAGACCACAATATTGCACAAAAGCAGAGCTTGATGTATAACTTTGATATAGGAGCTGCCACATTTTGCCCTTTATACCCATTTGATATAGCTTTAAAAAGAGTCCATTATGCCATATGCGATCAAACGCCTTCTCATTGTCCATAAAGGCTGTATAAACTGGAGAACCTCTGGTTAGATAATATGATAAGCTTTCGTTTAGAGTAAAGACTGAAGTGGTTGCTCCATGTTCCTTTCTAAACCCATATTGGAGCTTGTCTGGAAATGAGGGTATGTATTCTTGTACCCAGATTTCTAGTCTAGCCAATAAGACTTTTTCAGAAAGTTTACTAATACAAGAAGTTAGAGTTATTCCTCTATAATTTTTTGGATCATTTTTCGCCTTTTTACCTTTATATATTGGGATAATTACACCTCTTCTGAAAGTGCTAGGGACATATGCAGATCCTAAAATAGAGTTAAAAAGTGCCGTTAATGTATTTACGATGTCATCACCACC